TTCAAGACCTTTAACTCCTTGAAATAGTTTAAATTCAACTTGTTGTCCTTCCTGAAAACCAAATTTTTCATTAATACATAATTAAATTTCTTGTTTATTTCACCTGAAGCGTTTTAAATCCAGTGCCAAGAATTGATTGAAAATGTACAAATATATCATTTCCATTACTATCTCTTTTAATAAAACCAAAACCTTTATCTTGTGAAAATCGTTTAACGATTCCTGTATCTCGAATGTCATTCACACCATCTTTTACTGTAGATAGAGTCTTTATTTTTAATCGAAAAATTTTTTGTTGTTGAATGATCAGATGTTTAAATAGAGGTGAAATCATCTGAAAAATAATTTTATTATCAACTCAAAAAAATATGATATAATAACAGATATAAAACTAGCTGAAATTTATAGAAAATCGGTATGATAATTAATCTTTGATTGAATACATTCTTCATTTAATAATTCTTTTCGTTTATTTTCTTAATTGGTATTTCTTGTTTAATAATTAAAACTTCAAATAGTTTTTGTGATTCATTTGTTAGATTACGAAAATCTTGCATAAATTAACGATTTGATAAATTTGCATGGTTAGAAAAATATTTTTAAATTGAAGTTAAAACAAGACGAACAATATGTCAGAGAAGGCAAAATAATTGCATCATCCAATATTTTACAACTATTTCACGAAAAGCGAACATAAAGCCTTGAATTTTTTCAAAGCGATACGTCGTCGAGTTCTCTACAAGAACTACATCACAAAATTCTTTTGACTTGTTCTCATGGACTATTAGAACACTAAGATAATAGTTGTATTAAATATTGCTATGTCTCATTGTATCCGAAATAAAGAAAAAATATTTGTGTTAATCATTCCTTCTCCTCAATACAGGATTCCGTGTTTTCTATCATGAACAAGTGTACCAAGTTTTCACGAGGCTTGTAAAATTTTCCGCTGAAAACTCTAACAAATAGGCATATTCTAATGCAAATATACTAATTAGAGTTCGAATTTTTTGAGAAAAATAATGAAGAATTGGGAGAATCTTCTATTGCGAAGAGAAATTCTCTATGGTAGTTAAACTAAAAAATTCTCTCAGCTTTGAATAAAAGATTTAGTGAGAGCTACAATGAAAGATGTATGAAATGCTCTAATTTCTCATTCATCGGAGTTCATTCTCTTTCTGTATTTAAACAATAATCGTATTTGGCATACAATACTTCTCGCTGGCGATTTGCAAACATCGAGAAAATCTCATTGTCTACGGTGTGACATTGAGTAATGAATGAGTTTTGGTACAATGAGTCTGATTTAGATTTGAAACTAATGTATTCTGGAATTTCTACATCATTGTTACAGTGAGAAATTACAGAATTTTATGCAACTTTCAGTTTAGCTCACTGTAAATCCATTATCACAAGTCAAGACAATCTTCCATGTTAACTATTGTAGAGAGTTTTGTGACACATTTTTTTTTACAAAAAAGATTCAAGTTTTTATGATTTATCTTTGTTGAGATGTTTACAAAATATTCAATGTTGCAATCATTTTGTCTCATCCGCTACTTAACGATGATTCCAGCTAAAATCCCAACGATAGAATCAATTTTTAACGAATATGTTGTTCTTTTAATATACATATTTTTTCCTTCTCTTGAGTTTCAAGTAATACTATTTGTAGTGAAGAAAATAATTATCTTTAAGCATCATGTTGTTCTTTACTAAATCATGTTCATTTTTAAACAATTCTAAAAAAACATTATCACCAAGTAATAATTCTTTCATTTTCAATCGTACACGAATTAAGTCAGATTGAAGCTTCATTAATTCATCTGAATATAAATCGACGTTGCATTTGAGATGTTATAAGTGTACATTCAATCTATATAGACAGAAAAATAAATGGGTAAGCAAGATCAAAGCATAATTGTCTCACAATCGTTTATTTTAATCATTGTCGATGTTTTGAGCTTGTTTAACTTCTTTGAGACCAACAAAACCTTCATAGATATCAAGTCAACAATAGAAATATGATAGACGATTAGTAGAGGTAATTTGGTATTGTTTGGAACATGTTAGTCTCAAAACAATGTTTCATATCTTTCCTTAAAATAACTAGTCAAATATCGTTCAAAAGGAAACAGACACGTAAATAGACGTAACTTCTCATCATGAATATTACATCAAGAATTGTTTAAAATTACTTCTGAATGAAATACGAAAGCAAAGACGATTGGCTAATGCTCGAAATATCGAAGTTCATTCTGACCATGTTCAATCATGTTTTCATAAAGACGTCTTTTTACTATCGCCCATCAAAACATGCCATAATTATTTTACGTCAATCGTACTCCACGGGTAACGTGCTATATGTTCTTTTAGGTACACTATCTAATTGATAAATTGAATTTATCAAATGACGTCCAATACCTGCATTCAGTGGTGTAATCAAGATAATGAATTTTCTAATCAAAAACGATTCAAAAAATACTTTCAATAAATTTTTTCGAAAAGAATGAATGTACACAGATAAGCATAATTACTAGTCCAAAATATTGCTGGAGTTAGCTCTTGAGTAATTCCGTCCTTCCGTACTTTATCTGCAAAAATTGCTAGTTTTCATATGATTGAAGTTTTCATCAAGAATCAACAGAAGATAAATCGCATAGATCGATCTGAATGAAGTTTAATAACACTACAAGTGTAAAGAGTCGTGTAAAGTGAATCGAAATCGAGTCCATTAATCCATATTATACCCATTTCTGTATATTCTAAAGAGATGTATCAGTAGTTGTCCTTAGCTGTCGCTGTAATATGTCGAAAGAATTTAATTGATCTTGACACTCTGTTAGTTCGTTATGGTTTGAGAGAACTATTCTATGACGATAAGAACAAAGTTGTCTAGTATTTATTTTAGTGGATTAATTTTTTTCAGAAAGAGTAATTTATTTAACTATATGTTATTGTAATAACATTTTCATAGTGTCTCTTTTTCAATTTGATGTTCATTAATTTTTTTGAAATTTCTATGAATCCGTTCAATGTCTCGTAAGTGATAAAAAGATCAAACTATTTCGGG